CTGGGTGGCTCAGTTGGGTGAACATCCAACTTTGGCTCATGTCATGATCTTACAGTTCGTGAGTTTGAGCCCCCCATCAGGATCTCTGCTCTCAGCGCAGAGCCCACTTCAGATCCTCTGTCTCCCTCGCTCTGCCCCTCCTCTACTTGCGCTCTCTCTAAAATAAATAAAACATTAAAAAAGAAGAAGACCACAGATATCCAACAGGTATGTGAAAAGATGCTCTACATCATTAATCATCAGCAAAAATGGATTTCAAAACCAAATGAGGTATCACCTCACACCTATCAGAATGGCTAGTATCAAAAAGACTAAAACTGTGGGGCGCCTGGGTGGCTCAGTTGGTTGAATGTCCGACTTTGGCTCAGGTCATGATCTCACGGTTTGTGAGTTCGAGTCCCGCATCAAGCTCTGTGCTGACAGCTCAGAGCCTGGAGCCTGCTTCGGATTCTGTGTCTCCCTCTCTCTGCTCTTCCCCCAATCACTCTCTGCCTCTCTCTCCTTAAAAAATAAATAAACATTTAAAAAATGTTAAAAATAAAAAAGACTAAAAATAAGTGTTGGTGAGGATATGGAGAAAAGGGTACCCTCATACATTGTTGGTGGGAATATAAATTGGTGCACCCACTATGGAAAACAGTATGGAGTTTCCTCAAAAAAATTCAAAATAGAACCACCCTATGATCAAGGAATTCTGCTTATGGGTACTTATCTGAAGAAAATAAAACACTAATATGAAAAGATATATACACCCACAGGAGGAGGGAGGAAGAAAAAGATATATGCACTCCCATATTCATGGCAGCATTATTTATAATAGCCAAGATATCTGAACAACATAAATGTCCACTGATGGATGAATGGATAAAGAATGTATAGTATACACACACACACACACACACACACACACACACACACACACACATAATGGAATATTATTTAGCCATAAAAAATGAAATCTTGCCATTTGTGACAATAAGGATGGACCTTGAGGGCATTATGCTAAGTGAAATAAGTCAAACAAAGACAAATACAGTATGACCTTTCTTATATATGGAATATTAATATATATAAAAATAGAAATAAATACATAATCTCATGGATATAGAGAACAAGTCAGTTGTTGCCAGAGGTGGGGGATTGGGGTGATGGAAGAAATAGATGGATTGTTTTTGTTTTCTTTCTTTTTTTTTAATGTTTATTTTATTTTTGAGAGAGAGAGAGAGATTGGGGGGGTGGGTGGAAGGGAAGGGGCAGAGAGAGGGAGATAGAGAATCCGAGGCAGGCTCCAGGCTCCAAGCTGTCACCACAGAGCCTGATGTGGGACTCAAACCCACAAACCATGAGATCATGACCTGAGCCAAAGTCAGACACTTAACCAACTAAGCCACCTAGGCACCCATTGTTTTCTTTAGTTTAAATACACTGAATTTTAAAAATCCTGGTAATTTTGTATGAGCACTTATCTCCTACTATTTAAAAATTTTAAAAAGGCAAAACCAATTATATGTATTATCATCTAAAAGCATTTTCATATTTTATTAATCTAGTGACATTTTAAGAAATAAAGGGAAATTAAAATTCTATCTAGTTAGCAGTTTTTGCATTTCTCCTTTAGAAATTACATGCATTTAAAAATTAATTAAATATTAAATATTATCAAATTACTTATTTATTAATTAAGCTTTTGAAGTTAGTTAAGAATCAGAAATCACAGTTGAGTTGACATATTGTATCTTTATGAGTTGCACTATAAAAATTTTATAAAACTAAACCATTTAAGGAAACATCCACTATTACGTTAGCTAAATACAATTTAATATAGATATTATTTTTCTAATTTTTTAAAACTTTATTTATTTATTTAGTGACAGAGAGACAGTATGCACGAGTTGATAGGGGCAGAAGGAGAGGGAGAGAGAATTCCAAGAAGGCTCTGTGCTGCCAGCGTGGGGCTAGAACTCGCACACCGTGAGATCATGACCTGAGCCAAGATCATGAGTTGGTTGTTGAGCCGACTGAACCACCCAAGTGCCCCAATATATATATATTTTTAATTGTCAATTTAACCTTGGTCTTGAACAAAGCAAAATATCACACTAACGTTTTGTGTTTTTTTATGGGCAACAAACTGTTAGAAACTGAACGATGTAGAGGTTTCAGGATTGCCACTCAAATACTTACCAATAAAATTATTTAAATAGGAAAGCCAGCTAATTTAGCAGAATTCTGTCTTTCGTTTGTGCTGTTTCTCTTCTCAAGATAATGGTTTTTCTGAAGCCTGGTGATATGTACAATCCCATGGGCTGAAATTAGAACTTTAGGAGGAAGGAGCGTAGGAGTCCTAACTGGTGAAGATGGTTCTGGGGTCATTCTCAGGGCGCCACAAGTTTGGGACACTCCAG